TAACGGTTGGAGTATCATCACTGCCACCGACAAGGAGAAAACTATGGGTTGAGGAGGAGCCGGGTAGCGTGCGACTCTTGCGGCTCTTTCGTTTAAAACGCAAAAATAATAATAATAAAAAAAAAATGAAAAGTCTGCGCTTAGGTTTTTGACACCTTTTTGTTCTTGTGGCTTGTCATATTTAAATTGGCCAGTGAATGGCACGACGATGACGCGCCATGGGAACAGCAGCAAAAAAATATGTGCGTGCGCGAATTCCTTCCTTTTTGTTGTCAAAATTAATTCCCTTTTGTTGTTGTTGCTTTCTTTTCATTGCTCGTGTGGAGCACGACAGAAAAGTGGGTGGTGCGCTAAATTCATGAAAAGTCCAAAAAAATTCTCAGTGGTGGGCCATGCCAATAACGATCGAAGTCTGCCGTTCTTTGACAACCACTACGGCAACGGCGTCCTTATTGAAAACTGGCAAGAGGGCCGTATATATGATGCGTGTGGTCGCAAATTCACGCTTGCCATGGATAATTCCGTGGGGCCTAAACGTTCCACGTACACCAGCGATTACACCAATCCAGAAAGGACCTTGCTGCAACCCATGATGCGGCGCAGGGGGCTTGGCAAGGCGCTCATGTTCGGCGAAGGAAACTCCACCGTTGTCAAAAGTGAGCCCACAAGCACTACATACGGAGAGACACAACGCCACCTAATAGACAGTAGATACGGTACAAGTCACCGCGCCAAAGATCGACTCAATAACACCATGGGAGGGCTAAGCAGACAAAACTTCAAAGGGACCACCATGCCGAAAACTCTGAAACCTACTGCAGACGAAGAAATCTACGGGAACTTCAGCAGCACCAAGGCAGCAATGGACCTACTCATCGAATGCTTTCATTTTCAACGTCAAATGGCATACAATGAAATGTCACGCTAAACACACAGCAATGTACACGAGCTTATCTTTCCTCTCACCTTTATGTATACGTAACACGTTGCAATTTTAAAACATAAACAACAACAGCTTCTATTCACACATTCACACAACCTTAAAAGATAAAGAAAAAACAAACTACCGAAACAGCAATGCAACCAAATATAGAACCACAAATCTATATCTGTATTTTTCCCCTTTCAATCTAAAATAAGGAATATTGCACACCCTTACGTCTCATTAAAAAAAAAAAAACGGGGAAAAACAATAGTTACACCGAGAAAAAGGAACAACGAAAACACCCACCACTACAAAAGAATATACCGACAAAACAAACAACCAAGTCCAACATACAAACTACAAAAAACGGCAAAACCCAAAGGAGGCAATATATACAGCAAGATGGGGCCTTCCGCGCAAAATTACGACACACAAGAGGAAGAGGATGTGGGGCCGCGCCATGTTGATCCCGACCACTTCCGCTCGACGACTCAGGACGCGTACAGGCCCGTTGATCCCTCGGCGTACAAGCGCGCCTTGCCGCAGGAAGAGCAAGAGGATGTGGGACCGCGCCATGTTGATCCCGACCACTTCCGCTCGACGACTCAGGACGCGTACAGGCCCGTTGATCCCTCGGCGTACAAGCGCGCCTTGCCGCAGGAAGAGGAAGAGGATGTGGGACCGCGCCACGTTGATCCCGACCACTTCCGCTCGACGACTCAGGACGCGTACAGGCCCGTTGATCCCTCGGCGTACAAGCGCGCCTTGCCGCAGGAAGAGGAAGAGGATGTGGGACCGCGCCACGTTGATCCCGACCACTTCCGCTCGACGACTCAGGACGCGTACAGGCCCGTTGATCCCTCGGCGTACAAGCGCGCCTTGCCGCTGGAAGAGCAAGAGGATGTGGGACCGCGCCACGTTGATCCCGACCACTTCCGCTCGACGACTCAGGACGCGTACAGGCCCGTTGATCCCTCGGCGTACAAGCGCGCCTTGCCGCAGGAAGAGCAAGAGGATGTGGGACCGCGCCATGTTGATCCCGACCACTTCCGCTCGACGACTCAGGACGCGTACAGGCCCGTTGATCCCTCGGCGTACAAGCGTGCCTTGCCGCTGGAAGAGCAAGAGGATGTGGGACCGCGCCATGTTGATCCCGACCACTTCCGCTCGACGACTCAGGACGCGTACAGGCCCGTTGATCCCTCGGCGTACAAGCGCGCCTTGCTGCTGGAAGAGGAAGAGGATGTGGGACCGCGCCACGTTGATCCCGACCACTTCCGCTCGACGACTCAGGACGCGTACAGGCCCGTTGATCCCTCGGCGTACAAGCGTGCCTTGCCGCTGGAAGAGGAAGAGGATGTGGGGCCGCGCCACGTTGATCCCGACCACTTCCGCTCGACGACTCAGGACGCGTACAGGCCCGTTGATCCCTCGGCGTACAAGCGCGCCTTGCCGCAGGAAGAGCAAGAGGATGTGGGGCCGCGCCACGTTGATCCCGACCACTTCCGCTCGACGACTCAGGACGCGTACAGGCCCGTTGATCCCTCGGCGTACAAGCGCGCCTTGCCGCAGGAAGAGGAAGAGGATGTGGGGCCGCGCCACGTTGATCCCGACCACTTCCGCTCGACGACTCAGGACACGTACAGGCCCGTTGATCCCTCGGCGTACAAGCGTGCCTTGCCGCAGGAAGAGCAAGAGGATGTGGGACCGCGCCACGTTGATCCCGACCACTTCCGCTCGACGACTCAGGACGCGTACAGGCCCGTTGATCCCTCGGCGTACAAGCGCGCCTTGCCGCAGGAAGAGGAAGAGGATGTGGGGCCGCGCCATGTTGATCCCGACCACTTCCGCTCGACGACTCAGGACGCGTACAGGCCCGTTGATCCCTCGGCGTACAAGCGCGCCTTGCCGCAGGAAGAGCAAGAGGATGTGGGGCCGCGCCACGTTGATCCCGACCACTTCCGCTCGACGACTCAGGACGCGTACAGGCCCGTTGATCCCTCGGCGTACAAGCGTGCCTTGCCGCTGGAAGAGGAAGAGGATGTGGGGCCGCGCCATGTTGATCCCGACCACTTCCGCTCGACGACTCAGGATGCGTACAGGCCCGTTGATCCCTCGGCGTACAAGCGTGCCTTGCCGCAGGAAGAGCAAGAGGATGTGGGACCGCGCCATGTTGATCCCGACCACTTCCGCTCGACGACTCAGGACGCGTACAGGCCCGTTGATCCCTCGGCGTACAAGCGTGCCTTGCCGCAGGAAGAGCAAGAGGATGTGGGACCGCGCCATGTTGATCCCGACCACTTCCGCTCGACGACTCAGGACGCGTACAGGCCCGTTGATCCCTCGGCGTACAAGCGCGCCTTGCCGCAGGAAGAGCAAGAGGATGTGGGACCGCGCCATGTTGATCCCGACCACTTCCGCTCGACGACTCAGGACGCGTACAGGCCCGTTGATCCCTCGGCGTACAAGCGTGCCTTGCCGCAGGAAGAGCAAGAGGATGTGGGACCGCGCCATGTTGATCCCGACCACTTCCGCTCGACGACTCAGGACGCGTACAGGCCCGTTGATCCCTCGGCGTACAAGCGCGCCTTGCCGCAGGAAGAGCAAGAGGATGTG